ATTCAAATTTGTATCAACGATCTCACAGTTCTCACGCATTCGGAAATAGTATCCACGTCTTCTTTTTGTGTTTAGCACATTGCCTGACTCGACTGAAAGCATATGTGTTTAAAGTTGTGTTTCAAATTTATGGATAAAGGCTCAGGTCTTAGGTTTATGAAAGTTTAGACTTGAGGTCGTCAATATTTAGATTGAGACTGAGATCACCCACAGTTTTTGGTGGGGTTCGTGTTGCTCAGTCTTTGGTTTTCTATGTTGTATTATGTGTAATGTTGTTTGTCTTTTGATTGTTTTTCGTTTTTTTGCCATGGCATTTTCAGTTTGTTTTCGACCTATGGGTTTGAATATCCTTTGGTATTTTGCTCCTCTCTTGAGATCCTGCAATATGTGTCTATAATTGATAGTTTTAGTCACAATAGTTGTAGTATAGGTGTAAGATATGATAGGAACATACCAATCTTTAAATCAGGGAGGTATTTTCGATTGAACTGAATATGATGAACGATATTGTCCAAATTGAAGGCATCGGGAACTTTATTACGTGTTTTGGCAAATACAACCGTCGGATGGACTTTGCATAAAAGGACTGGAAAATTCAACTCAACCGTAACATGGAAGCCAATAGAAAAGGATAGGCAGAATAAGATAGTGAGAGGACCACTACATCGTCAGAAGATCATCCAGAGGACAACATTGCGACGAAATCAGAAAGGAGAATTGTGCAGCAGGTCAATATAAAGTCTGTGACGACTTTGTTGAACATCCGTACATTCCACGCTAGATCTACAGGAAAGTTAAGCCAATCCAGAAAAAAACGTAAGTTTAGAAAACCTTAATATCCTCCTCCTCCTTATCCTCCTCCTCCTCCTCCTCCTCCTCCTCCTCCTCCTCCTCATCATCATCATCATCATCATCATCATCATCATCATCATCATCATCATCATCATCATCATCATCATCATCATCATCATCATCATCATCATCATCATCATCATCATCATCATCATCATCATCATCATCCGCCGCAGCAGCAGCAGTCTTGGTAATAAAAAAAATCAGCATCAGCAGATAAAATTGAAGAGTTTCGAATATATTGAAGTGTATGTGCAAGTCTTACCAATACTCTGTAACAGGACAGTTACATGATTTTTGAGCTTAATTTAGAGCATACTAGACAATAAGTCAAGTGAAATATAATCTTTGAAAAATAAAGAGAGCGATATAGTACAGTGAGAGAGTTGAGCTTTGATATGTTGTGAGCGTTCTGAGCTAGAAAAGCTTTTGAGATCCGATAGAGTTGATTAAATAAAAAATATTAAAATAGATCCTCCCTCTGTTAAAAATCTTAAAATCACGAGAATCGACTCGAGGTCGAACTAAATAAACATAACATTTGCTTGCCAGAACTATCTGTCAATGATATCATGATGAAAAATGCAAGCTCTTGAATATCGTATCCGGTTGGAGACATATATGCTATATGCAGGTGATTCGGGAAATGAAAAGTTGATAATTTGAAAGTGAAATCATTTATTGTATCGTGAAGTTTAGTTCTAAATCGATCCTTATTGTCAATTACTAGCTATATATCAAGATATCAAACAGATCCGTGTCTCTTGTATCCTTTATTTCAAGTTCAATTGGATAGATGCAGTCAATTTGGTGACCCGATATATATGGGGCAAGTTTGAAATATCAAATAAGAATTAACCCTGTCATATATTCATATCTCTGTCCCTAGTCAGAAATGCGTTGTCTTATGTCATATATAATGTTATTTCGAAAATGTGGTGGTGATGACGGATCTTTGATTGTTATTGTTGAATCTTTATACAATTTTTTTTAAGACTCGGGACGATGTAGAGCTTGACAAATTGCATAGAATCCCGTCTTTTGTTGCTGACTGTATGTTGTCCTCTATTTTACATTTTGGTTTTTGTTGCGGTTGGTTTGGTGTATACATAGCATCTCTTTTTATTCATATTTTTGGACATATTTTATTAGAATCCATGGGTTCGTTTGACGTGTACAATTTAGTTTAGTCGAATTTAATATCTTCAAAATGTTCTAAATCTGGTTGTGTTACAGTTGTATTAGTCAAATATATAAAAGAGAGGCGAAAGATACCAAAGAGATATTCAAACTCATAAGTCGGAACAAACTGACAATGTCATGGCAAGTAACTAAAAACGATCAAAATGACAAACAAGAGTACACAAAGCACAAAAAACTGAGCAACACGAACCCCACCGAAAACCGATGGTGAACTCCAGTGATCTGGAAGGATAAGCAGTTCATGTCCCACATGTAGCACCCGTCGTGTTGCTAAAGCAAGTACAAATCCGGTGCTCAGTCTCATTCGATGATGTCACAATCGAGGAAATTGTGGTTAAGACAAATGTAAAAAAGCCGTGGTTATCTGTTAACATTCTCAAATGACACGGAGTTGGTATGAATCCTCGGGACTCACCATATATATCGTTCAATGCATCTTGATATGTCAAAAACTAGAATATATGTTGTAGGTGTGGGAATTTCATTAGGGAGCAACCATTTTACTTCAAAGGGTGTGGGGGGGGGGGGGGGGGGGGGGGTTATGATTTTTTGTCTGACTCAGAAAAAGCAAAGCACGAACATTTTTTTTATTAGTTTTTCGACGCTATCAATCAAATTATTTTTTTTTCAAAATTTAACACTATCCCTGTGGAATGGGGGAAAGACTGGATTCAGAATATTTTTTTTGGTCATCTGCTTGACCACAATATTTTTTTTCATCAAATTGGGGATCAGATTATTTTTTAGGAAAAAACACTAACCCCCTCCCTTTTGAAGTTAAATGGTCGTTCCCTTATCATTGTGTGGATTATCATGACATTTGAACATTCTCAAATGGCAGGTGTTGGTGACTTCTAGGGACGCATCCTATATCAAATCTAATTCATCGTGAAAGAGGCGAAAGATACCAAAGAGACACTCATAAGTTGAAACTAAACTGACAACTCCATTACAGAAAAAAAAAAGATCAAAAGACAAATTTAACAACAGTATACAAAACACCACATAGAAAACAAAAGGCTGAGCAACACGAACACCACCATCAAATAAGAAAATAGTCGGTTAAGGGTATGGATTTTTATCATTTTCAAGAAGGTTGTTAATTCTCAGTTGACAGAGAGTGGAGATGACCCTCACTGACCTTTTGATCCATAAGGCGGCCATATGGTCCCATGGTAACATCTAACGATACTCACTGTTCTCAAGTTATAACCATTTAACCAGGACAAAAAAAAATGTCCTATAGGTTCTATAGTAAACCCCACCCTTCTTATTGACCACTTAAAACACCCATTTGATAAAGAAGTCGCATGCAGAAACATCACCCTTAATGTCTCCCTCAAACCGCCCCAACTACTACTTCAATCTCTATGCAGTGATCAAAATATCACCAGCCAATAAAAAGATTTATCAATTTGCAAATTTCAAATGTTTGTTTATGCATCTTGCTGTTTACGGTTCCTCTCTATCAATTAGTGTCATAAAACATAATATCAAATAATGCTTATGTTGAAATGAAATAACCGTTAAAAGAGATATGTCAATCAAGGAAATGTCTGTCCGTTTTTAATGAATTTATGGTAGATTTTGTCTTTCATAGCATGGTGTTAGACAATTATTTGCATTTAACACTGTGTTTTATTTTTAGTTATTGCGGCAATGTTGCTTCCTACTTTACATTTAAGATAGACAAACAGATGAGTTTCTTAAACATCTTTTAAAAGCCTAAATTGTTTGAGTTACCTCCATTTACTAGCAATTTAAAAGAAATTCTTAAACATCTTTTATAAAGTTAAATTGTCTGAGTTATCCCCACTTACTAACGATTTAAAAAAATGAATCAATCAAAATATATTCTTTATTTATAAAAAGAAAAATACACACCATTAGATACATTTTTAAAAGTTTTATTATTCGAGTGAGAAAAAAAAATGTATTTCTGCATAACGAATTGCTTAAACCGTTAAAATATAAGACCAGGTGCAATCAATTGGGACTAAGATGTCAAAAGATCCCTATACCACCAAAATGTAAATAACTCCAATAAACCGCCATTTTCACTTTTGGACATATGACCTAATTTAAGATCGTGTATTGTGAATCATTATTTATGCTGACAGATTCTGCCGTTCTCTTACAGTTTTTAATAAAATAGGAAAAAAATTATTATGATAGATCGGGTAAAATTTTGTCAATGACGATCTTGAACATGTTTGCCCCTTTCAGTTCTTCTGCATCTACTATTGTCTTCAAGATATAACGCATATACTTGCATTTTCCCTAGCAATAGTGACCATGTTGGTTAATGAACCTTAATGTATAACAAAACACTATAATCGAGACAGCCTACTTATCAAACTGTTCAGAAGTTTTAGAGATACGATTTATGAAAACGTTGACCGACGATGGACGTCATGCGATAGCAAAATCTCATATAACTAATCTTCGGCCAGATGAACAAAAACCAAAACGTGTATTTGGAACGGACAGTTTTTAAACAAATAAGCCGCAGTAGCATATGTCAATGACCTGAACAAACGATTGTCACCGACAAAAACAGGACAGCTGCAAAATTCTTCTTGTTATTTGCGTAGGAGGTTGATAACCTGATAAATAATAAATTGTGAGAATTTCTTAAAAATGTTTTAAACATTCTTAATTTTGATTAAATTCAAATTAAGAATTAAAGAAACGATAAAGGTGACGTACCTTTGGCGTCTTTAGCATAAACAATGAAATTTTAACTAAAAGTCGACATTTCAGTAATTAATTATGTCAGTCAACTGTGTTAATGTTTTACTCCTAGTATTTATTTTAAATACAAATTTTAAAATTTTAAAAGTCAAAGCATACTATAGCCCTCACCGGGACAACTTCAATAAAGTGTTCATTTTCTAATAACGGTAAAATGATTGTTAGGACTTAACAGTTAAAGCTGATAATATTGTCATAAATTGATATTGTATTCACTGAACAGTAACATTAAAGATCCAACAGTCAGCTATTTAACACCACTGCAGAATATATCATGCGTGAAAAACTTTAATGTCACATATCCGGCTAGTTTCAACGAATAGGAAAAAGTGCCAGGGTGATTCTTCAATGACAGTGAGGAATTCTATTAATTTTGTTTAATTATTTTCTGTGTATGTTGAACATATTTCATATATTTCCGTATCAATGTAAAATGGTGTAACTCAGCTAATAATTGAGCAGTTATGTTCAAATATAGTTATTCGATATGGAATGGATAAAACTTCTCAATTTTTAGAAGGTAGGTAAATTATTTGTTAATTCAAATAGATGCAGAATGTTTGATTTAAATTGATGACAACATCATCTTCAAATGAAGTATTCGAATCCTATACCCTCACTAGTCTACACAAACAGACCATAGGGTATCCACTGTATGAAAATGCGGTCAATTATACATATGAAATTAAAAGTTATTTTATTGATGCCTGAAATTAGAAAGTATTCTCTCTATTTTAACTGCAATGATTGAATTAAGAGCGTAGTCCATACAGTACAGGGGCTGCATTTTTTCACAATAAATTACTATCTTAACGTGAATATGAAACTTAATATTCTAACTAAAATTGTTTTCTTTTCTATACTATAAAAACAACAGGACGCCCTTTTAATTTTAAGCAAGGTTAGACAGGGGCACATTTATAAAATACTGATAAGATCTAGAATGTACAAGCAAATGGAGGACATTATTTGTAACATTTTGTATTTTAATTTGTGACAAAATTAATGCATACTTGACTCAGATATAACTTTGAACCCATTTATTTAAGTGTAAAGGATAGTAATGACACTTAAAAACCATATTTATTTCATTGAAGTTAAACACTTAAAATGTTTGAAAAATTATAGCTAGATTTGCTAAAAATAGCTTATAATATTAGTATCGATAATTTGGACTGTATAGTGTATAGATAATATGATAATTATATAACTCCATTTATCTGGTTTTAATTATTCTAATTATCAGAATACATTGTTAATAACCAGCCAATTGGAAATATACTTTATATTAAGCTGTAAGGGCTTTCAAAACGAATAAATCGTAGTGTATAGTGCACGCAAAGCGTTGCAAAATTACCTTCTGAACCATGAAAAATAATGTCTTTGTTTTTGTTCTAAAGCAAACATGAAAAAGGCCTGTCAAGGTATTGTCCATTTAACCAACTTAACATATAATCCTTCAAACATTCAACGTTGTACAATTGTGATCGGTATTTTTAGAATCAAAATATAATACTGTTTCTAAAATCAATACCCAAAAAGGGTTGCAATTATATAGAAACTGACAAGACAAAGGAAACTGTAATTATAGTAAAATAACTTGAGATATCATATAGTGTATTGAGGATTGACACATTACATTAATCTTGTTGTTTTCCATTATTTTTATGTCAGTATGGAGTAAAATACTGGAATGAACGTCAGTTAGGCAACAATCCAACAATCTGGAACAAACAAAAGGACATTAGCTGTCATACTTTGTTATATAATATAAATAAGTCTGAAATTCTGCCATAAAATAAAACTTAATTGAAAATAAAATCTTAAACGCAATAATCGACTTCCATGTTCTGTAATTCCCATTTCCTTTTATTACTCGGTTTGTATGTCGGTCTTTGATGATATCGATTGTATATTCCGCAAAGCATCTCACCCATGCCATTTTCTTTTGGTTGAAGTTGTCACTATATTATTAGTGACGAGCTTTGAGGTTAAAAAAATGTGTTAAATTTCTACAATGTATTCAGGGTGGGAAAGGATATAGTACGCCTACTGTAGTGATCAATCCTGTATGGTATTTCAAAATGAAATTTGTTTGCATTGAAGGTAAAAAAAATTATTGTACACTTGTACAAATTAATTAACATATCTTTCAACAATCAACTGCCATTCGTATGGACCATAATTGTGTGTGGTGGAAAGGGCAAACTTTACTCGAGAGCTATTATCAAGGAAATAATGTCAGCACATTTCTTAAGTCAATTACATCAGTTGCTATTAATATGAGAAGGTTGATTCATTTACTGCAAGAAAAATTGATGATTTTAATTTTTCGTATCGTACTATCTTTTCGAGTAGTAGTGTACGTATACTGCCTCACTTAAAATACAGCTCCGTTCAAAACTTGTGTCAAATACATTTTCTTTCTTGAAAAAAGTATAATTACTGTCAAAGAAACAATATGATGATTTATTCAGATTAGGTTGATGTCATCATTGATTAAAGTTTAATGTCCACCATCAAGTACGCAATATGACAAAACAATTAAATCCTGAATTTGTTTTTTTCTAGCACATGTTTTTACCAGATTAATCTTGCAGATTAATGGCCACGTAACATGAATATAGCATGCCCAGGAAACTGAACATGTTCTTCTTCTATAAATAGAGATTGGTAAATCTTATTTTCGAATACCTGCAAATATGTTAACGATATATTATCTGTAAACAATGCAGATTTTCTAAAATATACAAATGAAATACATCAACCAGAACCCATTCTTAATAAATCAAAGACAGATAGTGACCGACCGTTTTTTATACCTTATCTTTTAATTTCTCATGATAATTATCATACAAAATTATGATAAACGAGACGGCTCTTCCTGTCCTGTTAATTTTCCTTTCCTTGATAATGTTGTACCGTTGGTTTTCCTCTTAAGGGATATAAATTTCTTAGTTGGTTAGATATCCGCGGATTGGAAGTGAGGTCTCGAATTTCAATGAATGAAATATTTTCAATACTTAAACACGTGGACATCATGGATATAGATATCATGAAATGATATAATCTTAAACTAACCTTTATCAAAAATATTGATATTAATAATGAGGAATTATGATCCCATCTGCAAGACTTTAGTAAAAACTAGTGCTTCGCATCGAGCTGTTTATGCTACGTTTAGTTATTTTCTTTCTCTTGTGATTTCATAACCTATAATTTCGTAATTCTAGTGTTTATTGATTTGCCTGTACCGATTTTCTTGTACATTTTTTATGTGCCATTTGTTTGAGATCTAAAAAAAAGCTTAACAAATAGTCATGTGCCCTTCCCAAAAACAAGAACTTCGTCTGCCGTTTTCATATTTTAATGATGTTCGTTTTGTTTTAGATTGTTTTATTATTTGGGAGAATTTGGTTTTGCATTCTTTGATAGGTTCACAACTATTAAGATCTTAACATTTTGTATATACACTTGTCTTTTGTTGAAGACTATTTATTGATTTCTGGGTGTCTTTTTGTTGTTTTGTGTGTTGCTGTCTCTTTGGCGTATGATAATAATGAGGGGATCCTCTGTATCGTCCTTTTGATCTGCGTTGATCTTTCGTTTGTCACAAAATGAACAAATAGATTGTCAGATAAAAACAAACTTGCCTGTCTGCAGCATTAATGGTTTTGTAATATTGATGACTTTTTAATAGAATTGTAAAGTCAATCACAGCAAATTTCATCAAATTTACAACATCTCATGAATACTAAATACTTTCGTATTATTTTTGAAAAATGAAACACTCAGAAATGACATTTATAACTTCAAAATTTGTTGCAATGATAAGGAACAAAAAGATAGATTTAATTTTATTTTGAATCATGAAGAACTATCGTTTTGTAATACACAACCAATTACTGAAAATTGAAAGACACAATTAATTTTCTAAAGTACTAAAAAAATAATGAGCAGATAAATGACAACAATAATTTTATTCTTTATACTATACAATGATTATTTCTGTCTTAATTAGCATATGATTTTAAACTATTCTAATGGTGAGATATTTCATTCCGTATTCGTTTTTACATCATTGTCTTTACTAATAGTTCTGTGTCTGTTTTCCCCATTATAGGACCTTTGAACAGGTTTGTCGCACTATTGCTTATTTTTGCGTTTTAAATGTGTTAATACGATAGTACATAGGTTGCAAACAGAACAAAGTGTATAATTGTCTATATATTCAGTTCAATAATTTATTTCATAGTTACAATTATACAAATAAAAAGTGTTTTTTATGTCACATATGCACCATCAGTTCCGACTTCAAAGTTGTAATGAGATTATGGCTAGGGAAAGGCGTTGCATAGATATAACATAAATTTATACTGAGATGATTGATTGTTGCTTGTATGCTGAACTTTCAGTAGAAAATTGTTTATGCATTCAACTGAAATTCTTGCTGACGTTCATATTTTGGTAAATTTTATAGTTGTTTCAAGAATGATAATGCATTATGTAAAACACTAGTTTTCATTTAAACTCGTTAAAACTTATATAACTTTTGCAAAGTATTTAAATTTTTTACAGCTAATCTCCCGTTTTATAATCACCAGATGTTTGTCATTTCAAATTCCGTCTTTGAATAAAGGAAGATATATATAGGAACCATTTCAGAGCGAATAGTTTTGAATGAGTTTTGAAAGCAGAATTGCCACAGCTATATATTTTTAAAGGACATACGTTTTTGTATTAAGCATTGAATGAATGTTGAATGTATATCATTTGAACGCCTGGTGTTAAATGTAAATTCACACATCAGCATGTCCCTTATATGAGCCTTACAGTCAATCATATGGTAAAATGTTCCAAATTTGTAAAATTATCTGTTTGTGAAGAAGTTGTTTTCTTTTAATCATGTAGTAATAACTGACGTTCGTACGAAGTATTCGAACTGTAGAAAATTTTCAGCGTGTCAGCAACCTGATTAAATCTCAGCCTGCTTTTACGATGAAATTTAAATATGTTTCGGCCAACGTTATTTATCGAAGAGAACATTTCCATCTTGCGTCTCTAACAAGAGTGTTATTCAATTTTATTTCGTGATAACAAAGTTATATTTGAGCAATATTGGTTCATTTTATTCTAACAGAATTTACAAAGGGTTGATAAGAAAGAAATACTTTCATAAAAACATTGAAAAGCTATTTAGAATTCAAATTACATTTCCAATCTAGTATTATGGAGTCTTGAACGATGGGGATGTCCGCCGAGAATTGTCAAGTTTGTTTTGTGTTGCAACAATCAGATTCTGCTATTCATTTTACCATACACTGGTGATTTTATCTGACATAAGAAATTTGAACTGAGACTCTCATGCCGAAGTTATAATACAATACTTTCCCCAGATATATTCCTAACAAACAATTGATACATTTCATGATATAATAAAGTATCAAACATTTCAATTTAGATTTTCTTGATATCAAGCATATTGCTTTAATGTGACAAAATGGCAAAATTATAACGATA